TCTGTATATACAGTATGTCTGGTATGTCTGTATATACAGTATGTCTGTATGTCTGTATATACAGTATGTTCTGTCTTCTGTATATATATGTCTGTCTGTCTGTATGTGCAGTATGTCTGTATGTCTGTATATACAGTATGTCTGTTCGTCTGTATGTGCAGTATGTCTGTATGTTCAGTGTATGTCTTCTGTCTGTCTGTATATACAGTATGTCTGTTCGTTCGTATATACAGTATGTCTGTTCGTCTGTATATATGTATGTCTGTTGTCTGTATATACTGTATGTCTCTGTCTGTATATATGAGGTATGTCTGTCTGTCTGTATATACAGTATGTCTGTCTGTCTGTATATGCAGTATGTCTGTATGTCGAATATGCAGTGTGTCTGTCGTCTGTATATGCAGTATGTTCGTATGTCTGTATATGTGTATGTCTCTTCGTTCGTATATACAGTATGTCTGTCTGTCTGTATATACAGTATGTCTGTCTGTCTGTATATGCAGTATGTCTGTCTGTCTGTATGTACAGTATGTCTGTCTGTCTGTATATACAGTATGTCTGTCTGTCTGTATATGCAGTATGTCTGTCTGTCTGTATATACAGTATATCTGTCTGTCTGTATATACAGTATGTCTGTCTGTCTGTATATACAGTATGTCTGTCTGTCTGTATATGCAGTATGTCTGTCTGTCTGTATATGCAGTATGTCTGTCTGTCTGTATATGCAGTATGTCTGTCTGTCTGTATATACAGTATGTCTGTCTGTCTGTATATACAGTATGTCTGTCTGTCTGTATATACAGTATGTCTGTCTGTCTGTATATACAGTATGTCTGTCTGTCTGTATATACAGTATGTATGTCTGTCTGTATATACAGTATGTCTGTCTGTCTGTATATACAGTATGTCTGTCTGTCTGTATATGCAGTATGTCTGTCTGTCTGTATATACAGTATGTCTGTCTGTCTGTATATACAGTATGTCTGTCTGTCTGTATATACAGTATGTCTGTCTGTCTGTATATACAGTATGTCTGTCTGTCTGTATATACAGTATGTCTGTCTGTCTGTATGTCTGTCTGTCTGTCTATTTTTGTGTCTATTTCTCTATCTCTCAGTCTGCCTTTCCCTCTGTTTAGTTGTATGTCTATCTATCTATCTATCTCATACATACACTAACATATGTAGTCTATACCAAAATGTATATGCATTTCAATAGTCTGGTAGTAATAGTCTCCACAATCGTAAACTATCGTAGACTATAGTAGTTATAATCGTCAGTTTGTGTCGTAAAATTTGTCGTCACTTCTCTGTATTACGAAAATAATCCACTTTCACACCCAGCTGCTTATTTATCAGGTTTATTTTGTTTGTTTCATGTTTTATTTTCCGTTTTTGTTTTTATTTCCGCATGTTTTGTTTTCCTTGTTTTCCTTGTTTTTGTCTCGTGTTTTTATTTCACTTTCATTTCATTTTCTTTTTCTGCATTTTTGGAGTTGTGTGTGTGTGTGTGTGTGTGTGTGTGTGTGTGTGTGTGTGTGTGTGTGTGTTTGTGTTTTTAAAGGAGATTGTTAAGGTTAGGTTAGGTTAGGTTGGGTTTGGTTAGGTTTGGTTTGGTTTAAATTGGGTTAGGTTAAGTTAGCTTGGGTTGGGTTAGGCTCCATGCGTCAGTTTATGTGGTCGTACTTCAGTGACTACTCGATAACACGACTTTTTAAGACTTTAGTCACAGAATTATGGCGTCCTGTGTTATGGTACTGTGGGGGATAATATTGATTTTGTGCTATTATTGTATATTTTCTTTATAATTCCTCATATTTATTACATTTTCTTCTTATTCCTCAGTTTTATCGCCATTTTTATGATGATTATAAAATGTTACTTATCTTGTGTGTGTAAATATTGCATGGAACTGTGCCACTTTCCTGATGTTCCCTGCTGTTCCCTGCTGTTTCCTGCTGTCCCCTGCTATTCCCTGGGTCCTGTGACAATTCCCTGCTGTCCCCTGCTGTTCTCTGGGGTCTTGTACCACCTCCTTACTGTTCCCTGCTGTCCCCTGCTGTTCTCTGGGGTCTTGTACCACGTCCTTGCTGTTCCCTGCTGTTCCCTGAGTCATGACATACACTCAATCACTAAGTTACAGCATTAAAACACAGCATGGTGAGCGCGACACTGTTGGCCCCGTTTCGTTAACTGTACCATATGGCGTGTGAGTGTGTGTGTGTGTGTGTGTGTGTGTGTGTGTGTTGCAGAGGTCAGTCAGTAGGAGACGGTAGTGGTGCTGTAATGCTGCCGGCCTTGCTGTTCAAGACGCCTCTCTCTCTCTCTCTCTCTCTCTCTCTCTGTTCCCTGTTCCCTCTTCTCTTTCTCTGCCCCCTCTCTCTCCCTGCTCTTCTCTCTTTCTATATGTCTTTCTCTGTGTGTCTCTGTATTTCACTTTGCTGTCATATCCGGGGTATTGGCTGACAATTTATGGGATGACAGAAAAAAAATTACAACAACAACTACGACAACAACAACAAAAGATAACTCTGGGTGGACATTACAGTGTTGAAACTATCTCTTGCAGACACATATTGCCGGTCACTTGTTATAATTACACACACACACACACACACACACACACACACATTTGAGCGATACTCGAGATACGATACAAGGAATAAACGTCTGTGTCTCTGTCTGCCTGTATGTCTGTTACTCTGGGTGTCTGTGATGAGGGGTTCAGGGGGGCGCTGTAAGCCCCCTTGACAAAAATTTTAAATTTGATCAATTTCATGGACTTTTTGAGGCCATATGCGACGGCTATTATTTGAAAATATAATCGAGGGGTAATTTACAGTGAGAGTAAACATTGAATGTCATAAGAGACACTTGAAAAGGAAAAAGTACAAGGCAAGTTCAACGTATAAATAATGTTTTATTTTTATTACACATCAAGAGTAATTTATCTACAGTATATGCTAACACTAAAGCGTGTTTTTTCCCAGCAAGAAAAGATGCCCCGCTCCCTCCCCAAAAGTTACAGCTGATTGGGTGTTGTAAACCTGTCCGATTTTGTCCTGAAGTAATGATGTATTTCTAAATGAGTTTATTCATAATCGTTGGGATGACCGCTTCTGACGAGACAGATATTTAGCTAAATTATATAAAGATACATACATTCATTATTTCAAACATAAGCACGTAGGAAGTTTATCAGAAGTATTATCTATGAATTAACTGTTAAACTCTGGTAGCAAATTCACTCTTTCGGAAGATTCATTTAATATATACTTATTTTTAGCCACAATAAGGCATACTAAGACAAATTACGTATCAGTAATAATGCATTATGCAAAAACAACATTTCTAAAGATCAGAATCACATTAAAATATTACACGGCCATCAGCAGAGGCGGGAAATAAGACTGCGAACAACTTCATATTGTTCCCGCCCCTGTAACTCTTGGGGAGGGGACGGGGCATCTTTTCTCAGCTGAGGAAACCGCATTTTACCACATTTTGAGTTCATTAACATTATATTTTGTACTAGCAGAATCGCCACCCTCCGGGCGGCTCATCCGCTAGGCCACATAAGTACGTCTTATAATCAAGCTGCTTGTGTTTGACCGTATTAAGAACCAAGAGGACTGTGAAGAGCTCCAGAAGGACCTCTGTGGGCTCCAAGAATGGTCGACGAAATGGCTGCTGAGATTCAATGTCACCAAGTGTAAGAGGATGCACCTGGGGCGTACCAACGGTAAGGAGGCGTATCATATGTCCCAACGGGATGAAGAAACTGCACTATTTGAGACTGAATGTGAGAAGGACCTAGGTGTGTATGCTGACAATGAGCTGAAGTTCTCGGGCCATTGTGAGAAGAAGGTAAATCAGGCAAATCAATTATTGGGTCTTATAAGAAGTGCCTCCCCATCTGGAGTACTGTCACTCCATCTGGTCCCCGAGATATGCTAGGGACTGTCAGTTGGTTGAAAATGTCCAAAGGAGGGCCACCAGACTGGTGCCTGCACTAAGGCACCTCGGCTACCCTGAGAGATTAGAGCGCCTGAACTTGCCTAGCTTATACTACAGACGGGCAAGGGAGGACCTAGTTGAGGTGTATAAGCATCTCAGGGGGCACTACTCAGTTGAGTGTCCTTACTTGGAGCTGGCGGACGCTCGCCCCACAAGGGGTCACAGCTCAAGATTGAAGAAGCTGCAAGTCCAGAAAACTGTGAGGGGTAACTTTTTCGGAGTGAGGGTTGTGAATTCTTTGAACAATCTACCAAAAAGTGTTGTGACGGCACCGAGTGTGAGCTCTTTCAAGACCAAGCTTGACCAACACTGAAGCAGGTTCAGGTACATTCAGGAGCTGGTGCATGCCCAGTACTTGCCAACAGTGCGTAACAGAGACGTGACCGATCGCCCAAGCGGCTAACGAGCCGATCAGTGGTGAAGAGGATAAAAGTTTAAAAAAGTTAAAAAGGTATGGGAGGGAGATGGCTGCAGATCAAAGACACTTCAGACGAGCAGCGTGGGCTTCGAGGGGGGTTCCGGGCAACCAGGAAACCTCCCTGGATACGCCCCTGCTGTCTACCTACCTGCCGAACTACCTATCTATCTATCTATCCATTATCATGTCAATAAATAATTAATTACCAGTGCAATAAACATAATTGCCAACTAGACATAATCCTGAAAGCACTGTCCTCTTGTTCAACCTTATTACTGTACAACCCATGTTGTACTGCTCCCCCATTCTACTTATGTTTATAAAATCCACTCTAATTTATATGTGTATTCCAGATGACACTAAATGTTACATAATACTTCCTTGAGATAAATGTATAGTGTATGTCAGGTGCCTCAAAGAGAGCTCAGGTTCTCAACTGGCCCAGTCATGTTAATATTGTTATTATTAACCACTCCGTATCTGTGTTTTTCTAGCTAAATAAACTGTTTCAATTCAATTATCTACAAATATTTTAGACTTATAGAAAAAAGACTTTTGGCTCGTAGTGGCTGTCAACAAGATGACGTCATCATAAGGAGCGCTGATTGGTGGTTCAATAGTCGGTGTTATGGAGACTCTGCCGCCTCACTTATAGGTGATTATTTTACCTCATTTAAGGGCTATTTAACTTACCTGGGAAGCAAATTGAGCTTTATTTATCTCCAGGGAGTTAATTAAGGTGTAATAATGGGTGGTAGTTACATATAAAGTAATAGATTGTTGGTTAGTTGGATGGTTTGTATGGGCTAGACGATAGATGGTTGGATACTTAGGTAGTTGGCTATTAGACAGATAATAAATTACTATTATATTGTTAGGGCAGCAAACACAAGTTGATGTAGCCAGACTTGTAGATAGATAATAGATATATAGATAGATAGATGGTATTAAGTTAGGTTAGGTTGGTCGTGACTGATAGATAATAATGTGATCCAGTTCCTTATGTTTTGGGTAAATTATAAAGCAGGACTTCTCAATCTATTATAGTAATTGGTTGCATTAATAACAATAAGTAATTAGTCCACATAAGGATGGTAATACTTAATAACAGGCGTCCATGTTAACAGGTGTCAGGGTTAAGTATTTGCCTAACAAAAAATATCTAAAGAAGAAAATATATTTGTTACCTCAGGAATAAATCAAATCCAAGTTTTTCTCTTAAATTCTGTACAGTAAATGGTTGATGACTCGGTAATTTGATACAATTTGGAATTTGATAACTCGTAATTTGGTCGAACTTAGAATGGTAGTAAAATAAGCAACTGTAAATTATTTTAAAATTAATTTTTACATAACTTGCATTTTCCCTAATATGTCATGGAAGCCACACATCCACAACATTGCTAAAGCTGCCTCCCAAAAGCTGAGAATGCTGTACAGATGCCGTAGCTACTTCACTCCTGAGCAGTTGCTTCAAGTATATAAGGGATTCATTCGTCCTAACGTGGAGTACTGCTCTCATATCTGGGGTGGCTCTTCTTCTGTCCAACTATTAGATTGGGTGGAATCAAAGGCATTTCGTCTTATTAACTCTCCTTCTTTAGTTGATAATCTCTCTTCCCTTTCTCTTCGCCGCAATGTTGCTTCACTCTCTCTCTTTTACAGGTACTTTAACGGGCAATGTTCAGTGGATTTGGCATCCTGTGTACCGCCGGCAAGGCCGTGGGTTCGTAGCACACGTCTTGCCCGCGGTGCCCACCATTTCTCTGTGGATGTCGTTCACACGAGAATAACCCGTTATAGTACCTCCTTCTTTCCTCACACAGCCAAACTGTGGAATGCTCTTCCTTCTTCTGTGTTTCCATGCTCTTACAATCTGTCTCACTTTAAAAAGCGGGTTTTCCGGCATCTTCGTGGTGCAGATTAATACAGTATAACCTTTTTTTCTATATTTTCAATTTCTTTCCGTTCTTTTTTTTCGCCCCCCAGGCTCCGTTGTGGCTCGTTTGACCTGTGCCCGGGTGGGCTAATTCCCGTAAGAAAAAAAAATTATGTATAAATAACGGTTCTAACAGTCAGTTAGACGTATGGACGCTTTTCTTTGTATTTCTGGAAGTTCGTAAGTCGAGTAGCATCTGTGCTATATTAACATCTTATTAATTTACTATTTTATCATGTTATTAACATACTAACTTTATGAATTAACCATGCTATTTATTTCAGATTGTGGTGTACTACAGAGAAGTGTTCACCATGTGTGTTGGGCCTTTGAAGCGAGTGTGTCACTGGGGGCCACTCATTGCTCTTGGTGAGTGTGCTGTACTATAATCATCCTTTTTGACCCACAGCTCAACAGTTGTACTCCTTCACTGTGTATATTGAAGGGTCATATTAAGGGTTCAAGGCTGCTGGGTTTCTTCTGTGTACGTGTGTGTGTGTGTATGTTTTGTGCATACGGTATATGTTTTGTGTGTTCACAGGGTGTTTTCTGTGTACAGTACAGTTATCCCTCGGGTTACGGAAGGTATGTGTCCTTCAAAATTTGTCCTTAACGTGAAATTTTGTAACGCGAAACCAATTTTCCTGTTGACTTCCTTATGGAGATGCGTTCACAAGGAAATATGGGGGGGGCAAAAAGACGTAATACAATTACATTTATGAGTGAAAATAATTTTTTTAACATGTACAGTATAGTACATTGATTATTTTATGATATAATAAGATAATAAATATACAAAACAATTGAATTTAACTTACCACAAACGATGTTAAGTGCTGCGTTAGGTAAGGTGGTACAATAATGTTACCTGCTGCGTTAGGTAAGGTGGTACAATAATGTTACCTGCTGCGTTAGGTAAGGTGGTACAATCTGAGTTACTGTGAGGGAGACGGAGGGGCATTACAATAATAAAGTCCTGAGTGCAGAAGTATGTAAGTGTTGTGAGACCAAGCGCACTAGACCGCACGAGCTGGGGTGGTGTGAGTACGCGGCGTCCCCACTGTACAGTATTGTACCAACCACCAAGAAATCCACACAAAATAATTTTATAATTTCTGTGAATTTTTTTCTAATAGTATTGGAAAAATTAACTTAAAAGTTTACCCAATATCCGTAAGGGGGAATTTTTTCCCCGTATCCCGAATTTATTGGTCGTAATTTACAAAATCGGTAAGAACGAATTTCCGTAACCCGGGGGATGCCTATATTACATAATATGTGTGCAAGGTAAGTTACATATTGGGTTAGGTTAATTTATGTTAGGTAAAACACTAAATAATATTCATAAATAATATTCATATTTTATTTTTGTATATTTTTTATGCGAACTCAAATTTTATTGTTTTACATAGACGCAAAATAATCAGTGGCGACGGAGCCACTTGTTAGCCGGTGTTGGCCTCTGGCGTCTGTAGCTGGAACAGTTGCGACAGGGGCGTGGCGAGTCATCCTCATCTTCATATTGTTCCCGTCTGTACCTCTTGGAGGAGTAGTCCTCTTCTGGGTACCTGTTGCGGCAGTGGTCGTCCTCCGGGTACCTATCGTACCTGGACCACTTGTATTGTGAAGAGCGGTCCTCCTCCAGGCACCTCTTGTGGGAAGTTGTCCCGGACACCTGAGGATCCTTGAAGGATGCACCAGAGTAGCGGAGATGATTCACGTGGAGGAACCGACGAGAATTTTGATAGTGGTCTTCACCACCGACGGGGTAGCCGTCCAGGGTGAGGCCGAGCTTTCTGTAATGCTCGTTGCAGTACCTGGCTACAGCTGTACCGCCGTGTTTGCGAGGCATATGGAAGTGCATCAGACCTCCGTGACGACCAAACAGAGATTGCAACTCGTGGTAGGTCACCCCGGGGGGAATATTTTTGATGAATAGACCGAACTGGTCATATCTGTGGAAGTCTTGATTACCTTTAGAGTAGAGGCGTGGCGAGCAGGGCCGGCGCTTGTTGTTTTTTACGTAAGGGGTGGACCTGTTCTTACACGCCTTATGTTCACTGTGCACTATGAAGTCTTATTTGGATGTGGTATCGACGAGGTGTACCTTGGCCGTTTCCACCTTGACGTTACATCGCTGCAGGAACTCAGCCTTGGTCACCTCGTTGTCCCATTTTACAGCACTCTTTTTGTTGGCGTCTTCTTTGGGTTCAATCTTGACATTGCCTATATTAAGAGTAAAGACGTTAGGCTTAACTTTTGAAGACCGGCTCTCGCCGCTGTCCAGGTGAAAGTTTTGCAAAAGTGTGCAGAGATCATCCATCTCTTCAGTGAAGTTTTTGAACTCCATTTTTATCATAAAATATGATTTGCTTGTTGGATCCTTCAACTTAGAAACAGGGGGTTAAAAAATTATTAGGGGGTTTTTGACGATTTATGACTCGTATCACAGTAGATTAGTGATAGTGTAGTGTAGTAGTGAACACGTGTTATAGTGTAGTGTTATATAGTGTAGTGAGGTAGTGTTATAATGAACATGTGGTGGTGTGGTAGTGAACATGTGGTGGTGTGGTAGTGAACATGTGGTGGTGTGGTAGTGTTGTAGTGAACATGTGGTAGTGTGGTAGTGAACATGTGGTGGTGTGGTAGTGAACATGTGGTAGTGTGGTAGTGAACATGTGGTGGTGTGGTAGTGTTATAGTGTACAGTAGTGTGGTAGTGTTGTAGTGTACAGTAGTGTGGTAGTGTAAGAGTGAATTTTTCCCCGTATCCCGAATTTATTGGTCATAATTTACAAAAATCAGTAACCCGGGGGATGCCTATACTGTATGTGTTTGTGTACATACACAAGACACAGAAATGGTCAAAATATTTAGTTTTTCCTTATGTGAACCCTTAATATTACCCCTTAAATATACTTATGGAATATAACTCACCATTATACAGTAATATCTCTGTTAGCCAGACTCCCTCTTAACTCTATCATAGCTCAAATAGAAATTGGCTCGGAATCTTCAGGAAAATTTCGGGTTTGGGAGCAATTTTCTGGGAAAATTTTCCAGGTATCCAGAATATTCCGGGGATGGGGTATTATTTTTCCAGTGTGAGAGAGTTGTCTTGTTACCTGGAAATCTCTCATTCCCGGAAGTGTTCTGTATCAAGTGTTCCGGCTAATAGAGATATCGCTATATAATGTAGTTCATATTAGGTAACTAAATGTTTTCTTAAAATAATGTTTTCAAACTGTATTTTTCTGAAGTTGTATATATAAGTATTTTAATTTTGGCAATTTATTTTAATTTTTTAGTTGTAATGAATATTTTAGACAATAAAAAAGTATTTAACTAATTATCTCATTTTTATAGTTATTCTAAAAGTCAGTTAACTAATTATATTATTTTGTAGTTAATTAACTAACTGTAATAAACTTTGTAGGAATAATCAAATGGGTGACACTAGCGACGGTGAGTTGTCTCTCCCAGTGGTGGCCACCGGACACCAGCTGGGGCGGCTCCTTCATCTTCCTCAGCTTCATGACCTGCGCTGTCCTCACCCTCTACTGCTTCCTGCACGCTATGTACACCGGCCCGGGAACCTTACCCCCTGAATGGCATCCGGTTGGTTTAATAACTCTTTGGTTTATAATAATAATAATAATAATAATAATAATAATAATAATTAACGGTTTATTGAAAGAGCATGGCAGCCGGAAGGCTGAAAATATACAATTACATAATCAGGGAATGGTTCTCTTGATTCACAAATGATGTACAAGTAACATAAGTAATACAAATATGATATATAATAATTAGGTGTTGATAATTTTTACAATGGTTGGGACTGGGCTGGTCTTGTAGCAATCAGTTCGTGCTCGTATGGGCTGGATGCGGTTGGGCAGGTGTGTGGCCAGGACAGTAGCTTGGGGCAATGCAGGTGTGCTCCATCCTTCAGGTTAGGTCAGGTGAAGCCGTCAGGTTAGGTCAGATCCAGCCACAATCAGTATTGCTGTGTTTTTTGTGCTTTTCCTTCGAGTTGAAATTGCCACTTTTGTATATCACTTGTGGGCTGATCGTTAATCTTTGCACTGTACTGTTGGTGTGAGGATGTTGATAAATCCAGATGGGAAGGCGGAGATGGGGGAGGGGAGGGGAGGGGAGGGCCCGACAGACTGGGCTGGCAGCTGTCTCCATGATCAAGAGACCACGGCCGCGTTAGCGGGCAGCGCCGACTACACACTTCCTTACCCTACGAAGGCTGAGGGAAGTGTTTAGGTCCAGTTACATGTATACATGTTTAAGTGATACTCAGTTGGTTTAATAATTCGATCTATCGCCAGAAATATCCTTAATTGGTAACCAGGTGGTTTAATAAGTCTTTATTTGGGGTATCTTAAAGTGACTTAATAATCTTTGTCTATGTCCAAGTACATGTATATCATTACAGTAGAATTATTTTATTTTGAACTAAAGGGGGGGGGGTGAAGGGGGTTCAAAATTGCAGATAATTCAAAATAGGAGAAGATTTTATTAATTTCTATTACAGTATACAGTAGTCTCGTTTTACACAGTCAATTAAACCCATGGAGGTCCGCGTTTAACGCGAAATGCGTAAACGAAATAACAGAACATATGGGATTAATTGAAATAGAGACTGGGCCGACCCCCAGACTACCCTTTTTCCGACACAATACGTACCCTGTAGTAAAAATAACATCTTAATTTTATGATGGTATGCACACACAATTAATATTTTAGAGAAATATCAATAATATTAGGCTTTTTAACACTTACGTTAGTAGAAGAGATGGCAAGGTACATGGGGATGGGGGGTTGGTTCCGAGGCAGAGGGCAGATTATTGGCCCTCACCTGTATCACCTGTATCTCTATCCACCACAGAGGCTAGCAGGGCCTCCTTGTCAAACCCCTCAAAGTCCATATCCTCACTATCACTGACTTGGGCTGGCTGTGGTGGGTGGCGGGTGAAGAACTCTGTAATGTTTCGTTGACTGGGCAAGCAAGATTAAATAGACCAATCACAGCTCGCGGCGGAGGGGATGCGTGGGTGGTAAGGATGCGTGGCCCTATCACAGTCCGAAACGTCATCTGACGTCAGCGGTGACGTAAGAGCGACCTAGCGCGCAGCTTGTCCGTGCCGCTTCCCGCGTAACTAATAATTGGCGCGTCTGGACAGGTGCCGCGTAAACCGAGACTATACTGTATATAGATATGAAAAACATTGTTAGTTGTGAGATATTTTACATTAATCTTCCCTTAATACTGTACTGTAAATGTTCTTTAATCACTGATAATTGTAACAGTTGTAATATGTTTTGTCACATAATAGTTGAAGGTAGTATGGGTTCCTTGGTAACCTCACAAGAAAATACTCAGTACTATAGTTTGGTGATACAATGTACACAACATTATGAGCCTATGGGTGATAAATATTAGGACGTGCATTTACTGTGGTATACAGGGGGTCCCAGACTTATGAACGAGGCTAAACTTTAAATTTACATTATTTTATTTATCTGATGACTTATTTTTTACTTTCATTTACTGTATTTTGTCATTCTATTTCATCTTTTCTCTTCAATAGTGATTAGATGTATATGAGGATTTAGGCTATGATATAGTGGGATTTAATTTGTTTCTGTAAGTACAGTATGCACATAGCATGTGTTCTGACTTGCGTACATTTCCTACTTAAGAATGTCCTCGGGAACGGAACCGGTTCGTAACCCGGGGACCCCCTGTATAGTTAACATAAGTAATGGAATGTGTATTTATTTCAGCGTAATTAATGTGATGTTTGGTTACCTAATGTAGAGGGATCAATATGCCACAGAGCCACGCATATCAACCCTCCCTGAACATCGTGATTTACATGTAGCATTTTGGAAGTGATGGGACCCATCCACTGTACAGTACCATGATCATTCTTATGTAATTCTTTATTTTGTTTATTTCAGGAGAATGAAAGTGATAAGCAATTTCTTCAGTTTTGTGCAGCTTGTGAGGGATACAAGGCTCCTCGCTCACACCACTGCCGCAAGTGTGAGTTCATTCTCTCTCTCTCTCTCACTTTTGTAAATATTGTACAGTACAGTATACAGGGTGATTCATAAGTTCTGTAGGTTTTGGTAAATTATTCCCCAAGATTTGTTAAGGAAGTTACTGTTTGTTTGTACTTTGAGGAATTAATGAATATTTCTAAAACTATTTCAGAATTTTTAAATTTTTTTTGTACATTACTGTATTATACCCTGTAGGTAATATTTTTGTATCAATGGACATTACATTATTACTGTAGCTCTACATAAATACTGTAACTTGTATGAGTATCTATGTAAGTGGATTTTATTATTGTATTGACGGACATTCATCATCTGACTCTCTGCACAGGTGGTTGTTGTGTCATGAAGATGGATCACCACTGTCCCTGGATCAACAATTGTGTCGGGCACAAAAACCACGGCTCTTTCACCTTCTTCCTCTTCTTTGCTGTATTGGGATGTGCTCAGGCAACTGTCGTCCTTTCTCTTACCATCTACCACGCTATACATAGGGTGAGTATCAGGCTGTAGGGTCGGTAAAGTGCTCTGTTTATGTAGGATTAATCCAGCCTAGACCCTCGTTATTTCATGGCAATTCTTCTTGGCTCCTCCCTCTCTCATGATACAAGGAAGGCCAACTCAACTTGAAACCTGTACATGTGTTTGTGTGTGGACCTAAGAGACACCCTGTATTCTAGACAACTTATTGTAAATACTTGTACATTATATGTATTACAGAGATCGTGCATTACATTACTCATATTGATCATTACAGACGTGGTACATCTACTATGGCACAGGAACGGAGCCGATCGTTTACATGAGTCTTTGGGGTATGGTGCTCTGTATGTTCGTGTTAGGACTGGCCATTGGGGTCGTGCTGGCGGTGGGGATGCTTCTCTACTTCCAGGTTAGTCTGTGTGTTATAAGCCTTGTGTCTTTGTGTGGTTGGAGATTCATGTTTAATGTGAGGTAAAAGTGTATGAAACTGATTTATAAACATGTATATTTGTGCTAGATGAAATAAAGGTGTATGAAACATGTTGATAAATATGGAGATTTATGCCAGATAAGACTCAGAAGTGTACAAAATTGATTAAAAACAGATGTTTGTGATAGATGAGACAGAAATGTACTTATTATTATTGTCAGCCATTCTTAATGACTCATCACTCGTCGTCAGGTACGAGCTATTCTCCGCAACAGGACAGGCATCGAGGACTGGATTCTGGAGAAAGCCATCCATCGCCGGGATTCAACCGATGAACCGTTTATCTACCCGTACAACTTAGGACGATGGAACAACTTTGTGCAGGTAAGAGAAATGACAACGACATTGTCTGAACACTAACGACCTCATTTTTTGGCATGCATTGTCTTCGGCTTAGTCGTGGATTAAATATTATTTACGGATTGAGTCGTATTTACGGATTGAGTTTTATTTACTGATTACGCAAAAACTAACATTATTTTTATTGATCTGTAGGTCATCAACGTGTGGTGTGAGCCCAATGGGGATGGTATAGAGTGGACGGTGCGTGAGGAATGCAACCAGTACACTCTGACGGTACGTACATTTGTCTGTCTTGTTTATTTACCATACAACACATTTCCTACCTTTGGGGTCCATAGAAGATTTACCTCTGTGAGTGTGTGTCTATCTATTTGTGTGTCCATTCTATCTATCTGTCTATATTTATTTATCTATCTGTCTATCTTTATTTATATATCTATCTATCTATCTATCTATGCACCCAATCACCTACCTATTCCTCTACTCCATTACAGATAGAACAGCTGGCCCAGAAGGCAGAGAAGCGCGCCCGCAGTCAAGAGTACCATATAGTCGAAGGCTTCTCTGGCTGGTGGTTCCCCTGCACTAAGGGCATCTGTGTGTGTTGTCATCCTCCCTGCACTGACGAACCTCGCATAAGGCTCTACCCTGGCGACGAAGTTATAGTCACTCGTTGGAAAAAGTATGTTAGTCGTAGTGTTGTATTGTATAGGGTTTGTTATAGGCTGCATACTTATATATAGGGTGTGTGATAGAATGTGTTATAAGTCACACACACACAAATTGTCTCATAGGTTGTTTATAGTGTTCATGTGGTGTATAGAGAACCACCTCGTTAACATTGAACCACCTCGTTAACATTGCTTATACGCCTCCACAGGTACTGGCTCTACGGTGAACGTATCAACTCGTCGTCATCGCCAACGACGTCGTCAGGTGACGGGTCCAATGTCTACCGCCACAGAGGCTGGTTCCCTCGCCGCTGTGCAGTCCAGATCTTGTGCACAAAACCCGAGGCCGACGCTCCATCCTCGTCCCCGTCCTCACGCACCCAGAAGCAGACCCACGAGAAGACGATGGAAAACAAGAAAAAGCGGTGATACTCCATCTTGAAATCCGGTGAAGTCACGGTGGCTTATGAGTGAAGGTTGACAGGGACTGAAGTAGGCATGATATATAAGGTACTATACGCGAGTCTCCTATGAGAGGCATAGTTCTTTCTGCCGTTGTATAGTAGTTGTTGCTGCTGCTGACGAACGTGGTGGCGTGTTTAGTTGTAATGTTTGTAAACACGTCGGCATATTGGAGTTGTTTACTTCTTGGGGTATACACAAGTTGATCATTGTGTGTGTGCATGTGAGAGAGAGAGAGAGAGAGAGAGAGAGAGAGAGAGAGAGAGAGAGAGAGAGAGAGAATTTGGAGTCAGTTTGAGCAAGAGTTTATACCTGAGAGAAATGTTTCTTCTTATAAGGGCATATAATGGATGGATAGTTAGGTAGATAGACTGTTGGCAGAGCGTAAAATTGACTGTTAGAAGAGATAGACTGTTGGAAGGGCATGGAAGGTTGCTAGACTGTTGAAAGGGCATGGACAGTTTGTAAGGGAGACAGACTGAAAGGGCATGCAATAGACTGTTGGAAGGACAAATGGAAGGCTAGTTAGGTAAATAGACTGTTGAAAGGGCATGAAATAGACTGTTGGATGGACAAATGAAAGGTTAGTTATTTAGTTAGACTGTTGAGACTGTCAGAATGAAAGACCCAGAATTAAAGGCTCCATTTGACAAGACGTTACCAGTAAGAAAGTTTTATCAGATACAAGTTGTAGTAGTAAAGTAAAAAAGAATATTTGTAAAGTGTTAAGTGTAAGTAGATAGGATAGGTTATTTCTACAGTATTCCATTAGTTTTAACTACAGTACTACATTACTTTAGTCCAGTACATTTTTCCTTCAATCTCCCTTTAGTACAA